AATCGCAAAATGTGGGCGAAACTTGTGTCGGATCGCGGACTCTGACACCAGCCTTAGCTCTCAACCAACTTTGTGGAAAAAATTGTGCCTAAAACCTGGCTCCGAATGATGTCGGCGCCAAAAGTCAGATTCTATTCGCGATCAAGACCATCAAAACCCCGTTGATGAAATTTCTACAGAAAGATTTTTGACATAGTGATTGTTGTGTTAGGTTAACAGGGTTTGTCGACTACTTGATTTTTCCTCAATGGTCCTGCCGCGATGGCTAGAGCACAGACGATTAGAGAACGGGTGCCCTAGGACTAAGCCTTGGAGAGGAGAGGGACCCGCGAGAGAGCGCAGAGGCGGTTTAAAGGGCTGAGTTCAAGTAGTCCGTCGACCCACAAAGCCAAAAAGCCCATAAAGTCCCGAGGTTTCCTAATAGAAAAAAGGGAAGCATTTTGGCTGGATGGAACAAAATAGTAGGAATATGGCTCTCTCAAGTAGCACCTTCTAATATTTAAGCAATTCATAACCACTAAATTCCGGTCTAAGGGATTTGCCATTCTTTGCTCTTAAAAAAGCAAAACGTAAGGATGAAAACCGGGAAAAGTAGAAAACTTACGACAGTGTCCCACACAGGCTCGTCAAGTGTGTCTAGATCCCCATCTAAGCTCACATCCTGCATGGGGCGTGCTCTCGACGGACCTCCCATCCCATCGATATTCCCAGAAAGCTCAGCCGGAGGATTTCGATGAGCATGTTCTTTTGCGGCGATTTCCTTCTCCAACTAAATTGGAAATGGAAGAGATGGTGAAGAAATTGGTAAACGATGAAATAAAGAGAAAATAAAAAAAGGCAAACTTACTATATCGATGTCAACTGCAGCGCTATTAAAATTCGCCATCGGATGCAGTCTAACTAAAAATTAAGCGACATACGTCAGAACAAAGTCAGTTGGCCGTCTAATTGGAGACGTAGATTGAACATTTGCTTTGAGAACACCCACGAACAACAAGTCATTCATTGAAATATTGGGCCATGTTGTGATAAAGCAAAAAACAAAGTCGCAAAACTCTAATAAAGAAAGGAAACAACGTAAATAGACAGGTTAAATCAGCGGAAGGGATTTTCAGGGAGCAAATTTCGTTCAGAATGAAAAGGAATAGTGAGCGATGACACCGAGACATACTATACACTAAAAAACAGAAGAATGTCAATATGGAATAAACACAAATACTAAGTAATCAAACGTCCTCAAAGAAACCGACACCTTTGTTCATCACTCAACTTGAACGTGGCAAATGAGTATCGGTAAGGAGTTCGTCGCAAGACCTTAATCGTAAGCGGCGGGAAGGCATGAGGTTTGAATGTATCGGTGACGTCATTTAAATGAGTATTTTAGCGCATTTCTTTCCTTATGAGTAATCAGATGTTTACTTCCCATCAATCTGTAGCCCTCGACTTCGGCAAACATCTGGTGAAATCATGAGAAAGGCTAATCATTATGAAGTGTTTTACTTGAAAAACAGATGATATTTCCTTAATTTTTAGTTGGAGAATGGATTTAGTTTCAAGAATTATCGGCGATTTTTCTGGGGGATTTCTTCTATTTCCAGCAGATTCCCATTTTCAATAAGCAAATAAATTCTTAAATTAGCGATCTTAAGTTCTTCGGAAGATATTTCTCGACAGTCGTCTCGCTCTTTTTTCTGAATATTCGAGACTTTTTTCGATTAATTAAACATATTTCAGAATGGAGATCGGTGCAGGCTCTTCGCGGATTGTTCGGCGTGGCATCCAGAGCAACGTAACACGAATTAAGGTGCAATTATTTGAAGTTTTTGGAAATTCTCAAGACTGACACTCAAGCAAACACCGGGAACGACAGTCTTCGACTTCATGATGATGTTCGGATTTTGGTTTGAGTGCCTTCAAATGTTCAGGTAGAGTAGTTGCTCAACTGCGTCTAGAGCGCCTAGCAACTCCTTGGTGCGGTCAAACTTTGTGACGGTCTGTCTTGCAGTTAGAGTTGGTGTCGATGTATGGGACGTGAAAGTCCAGTTCGGCGGAGAGGGGGAGGGGGGGGAGGACTCCATTGCTACTCACCTTGTACAGTCGAGATCCGAAAGTTGGGGTAGGCGTGTCACCGGAAGTGACGTGGACTTGATAGAAGTTGCGTAGATAAGTCGTTGCCAGCATGCTTTGCTGATATCTCGCGATGTATATTGGAAGCCCCTTATCCACATAGATTCTATCAAGTACACGTCACTTCCGGTGACACGCCTACCCCAACTTACGGATCTCGAGTATACTAGAGAGCAGTTCTTTGGGCTATCGAACACTACGGATAAGATAATAAGTGAACGACTCATTTCGAGCGTACTTTTGATAAGGACCGGTGGATGTCCTACATTCCACACTACCTGCCCACATCCCATCCACTTTTCTGCACAGGTGATCCACCCTGGAGCTCCTGCACCCTTAGCCCTTTGCGGAGGTGTCCTTTCTCCTGGTCCAGGACCGTTCCCTTGGGTCATGGCAGGCGGAAATGTGAAAACGTTTCAGGGTTTCTCACCCATTACACCAATATTTATCAGAAGTCTACTTTAAATGAGTCGATTACGTGTCGTGAGCCCTCTAATCCTTATCTTGAGTATTGGAGAAAAAATGGGAGTGCCCCCCGAACTGGAGTTTCACCATGTATTGATACGTGCGATCGTACATCTACTCCACACTGGAACTGCAGATGAAGTGCAAGGCAATCACAAAGTACAGTCGATATGCGAAGGTTGGGGTAGGTGTGTCACCGGAAGCGACGTGCACTTGATAGAAGTTGCGTGGTTAAGCTGCTGCCAGCGATCTTTTAGCTGATATCCAGATTATGTATGTATAGAGGAAGCTTTTTACACCGTTCTATGCGCGTGAACGTCATTGTCTGCAGTGACAAGCCTACCCCTCTCTCGAATTTCGAGCATATGACCACCGTTATGATTTAGCCCTAGTGGGAACGGATAAGCTCTTCCTTCCCAAGGTCCAAAGATATTTGTTAACCATGACTGTCGTTAGGCTCCCTTTGTCGAACAAGGAGAGCGCGTGCAGCTGGAAATTCATGATCTGCTCCACCGCGTCTTCCTAATCCTTGGAAGTATGTCACGGGCCTCGTGTTTTCTCGGTATGTGCGGACAGAAAATATGTGGACAGAGTGCTTGGTTGGGACGATGGTTGGCTGATTTCAAGTCTTCATTTATTGTACATATCATTCCATCGCTACTTCACGCTGTTCCTCAGGCGCTCCCTGCGAAATTCAGGTCGGAACTAATTCTGCGGACGCTGTCATTATTCGAACAACTTGATTCGCCGCTGATGTATTGAAATCTTCAATGTTTGCATAGTTCATGTACTTGGTAGATGGGGGAGGATAATGTCAGAAGGCGCCAGTAATACATGCCTATAGTCCGTTCATCATCCCGCCTTAGATAAACAGTCTCCAATCCTCTTCGAGATCGGTTAGTTGGTGTCAGATATCTTCGGAAGAGAATTGTTGAAAGGCGGCCGCCCTTTTCATGATATTGTAATATCAATCCAACGGCCTACATGATTCTTACAACAGTTGTCAGTAGAAACAGGGTCAACCGTTCATTGTTCCATTTCCGAAATGTTGGATGCTCCCCTCTCAAGGAGACTTCAGAACGATCCCTCACTATCATTGGGAGCCCCAGGGAGTACCATACGATCCTTTGCTTACCCTTGACCCCGCACCCTCACTAACATGGTTTTTCTTCACTGTAACCCTGACCTCGCTCACTACTCTGCATAATGGCCGTCGAGGGGGTAATATGTTTTTCTCAACAAACGGTGAACAACACTCTAATTTCGACCGTTTTAGGCCTCTCCGTATAATTTTCGGCAATTTCCAAAAGCCTGTCAAGGGTGACCCCACCCCCTCTACTGTTCCACAATACACTGCGTCTCCTAATGATACAGCCACCTACAAATTGTTCAAAATCTTCATTCCACAAAGTTCTGGAAAAATGTCCAACAGAAAACTGTGTCAAATTTGATCGCAAATTCGAAAATCAACACAAAATTCCAGGTTGAAATGCCAAAATTTTTTTGCTAATTTTTCAAGGATCGCTTTTCCTATGTCTCCAAATGATACAGCCACCCCGTGTTTCTTCGTTGCATTTCATTTTTGCTTGATGAAACTTGAGTCATCAGTTTTTTCTAGGTTATCACAAAGGAAAGCAGTTGTTGGATTTCGAAAAAGGGCAAATGGTCGCAAAAAAGAAAGAGTAAGCGCCAGTGGTCACATTGCGCGGAAGTTAATCGAAGTACGAAATGATAAACAATTTCTTCTTGCATGCCGTAGGAAATAAAGCTGAAAAGGGCTCTGAAAGCTCCTCTTTGCTTTTGATCAAGATTAATGCGGAATTATGAAAATAACATCCAATTTCATCAAGCCGTGCTCGGAATTAGAGTCTTCTTTCGAACTTAATCTTTTACTGGATAGTGCTTGGTAAGTAGTGAAGAACTTCCAAGTTCGCTCTCAAGCGGAAAGTGAAAATGGCAGTGTTTCTGGAAAGAAACCGTGACAAAAACCGGGACATTTTTTGCGAGGAAAGAGTAGCCAAGCCAAGGTTGGCTTGGCTGGCTGTATCATTAGAAGACGCACTGTGTTATGACCCCAATTCCCACATCGACTTTTGAAAATTTGATACCACCTACATGCCACTATAACCAGCACAAAGGAATCAGAATGCGACTCCCCCTTCAAAATCCAAATACGATCATATGACGGCGTTTTCTCACCACATCAGCAGGGGACACAGAACCTTTAGCAAGTAAATTACGATTCCATTAGCGTACACAGATTTTACTTCAATAATGGGAATAGGTATTCACATGCAATTTGATCAAAGAACTTGGTTGGTATGTCATATAACAAGAATGGTGTGCCGCATACCGTGCTGTCGAATTGCACGGGAGATCGGATTCTGGCTTGGATTTTGGTTGAATCAACCAAGGCTCCCTCTGTCGAGGTCGGTTACATGGTACTGCTTCATTTCTGAGAGAGTGTAACTACGGCTCCGAAAGATTGGCGGTTCGCAAGGGGCTGTATGAGCGCCGTGTCGGCCTCATTACGCCATGTTATCACTTCCTACATCCCCCTATCACACCTGGCCTTCACATAACCCATATCTCAGACCTTTATCAAAGTTCTGCTCAATACACCCTTTGTCGTCTTACTTGAATTCGACCACCTACTATCATTCTCATCTTCAAACTATGCGCAGTCTGGACATTGATGTGACGCCTTTTGGGCTTGAACGGTTCAACGAATTCCTTCAAAAGGTGAATCTGGGGGCAGTAAATATATCTGTTGAGAAAGATACAAAAGAATATAAGGTAAGCGTGATCGAATCCCAAAATCAGACCCTTTATATACCTGAGGCAATTGGCAAGTATTTCTTGAGTTCCGATCTCATTGCTGAATCGAACTCATCGCTACCCCACGTGTAGCGCTCTTTGACGTCCTCGATGGCCTGAAAATATAGAAATAGCGTGGAATTGCGTAGATCTTCACCTAGGCAGGTCTCTAAAGATAAGACGATTAGCAATACCTTCAGCGCGCTTTCAGTCGTTTAATGGCAATATCATCAAACTCTTCGATACCGATCTCCTCCGACGGAGGGATTGTGTACATTTGCAAATTCCTCGAGTATTGCGTTGTTTTGCTAGACACCTAAATGAAGCTCACTGATCGCTGATCAAGTTCTTCGAGGAGATTGGACTTCCGCTCAAGTCCAACCATCCATTGCGCAAGTTCCAAGGTTATGATCGTATTTGGATTTTGAAGGGGGAGTCGCATTCTGATTCCTTTGTGCTGGTTATAGTGGCGTAGGTGGTGGTATCAAATTTTCAAAAGTCGATGTGGGAATTCGT